AATATTTAACTTACAAATTAAATATTTAGTTAACAAGATAAATATTTAACTTGTGACTTAGATATTTAGTTTTGAACTAAACATTTAGCTTGAAACTTAAATATTTAGCTAGCTACCTAAATATGTAGGTTGCAACTTAAATATTTAAGTTTCAACCTAAATATTTAGGTAGTTACTTCAATATTTAAGTTAAATATTTAACTTGCTTCCTAAATATGTAGGTTGCAACTTAAATATTTAACTTGCTAGCTAAATATTTAGGTAGTTACTTCAATATTTAAGTTAAATATTTAACTTGCTAGCTAAATATTTAAGTTAAATATTTAACTTGCTAGCTAAATATTTAAGTTAAATATTTAACTTGCTAGCTAAATATTTAAGTTGTAACCTAAATATTTAGGTAGTTACTTCAATATTAAGTTAAATATTTAACATGCTTCCTAAATATGTAGGTTGCAACTTCAATATTTAAGTTTCAATCTAAACATTTAGGTAGTTACTTCAATATTTATGTTAAATATTGAACTTGCTTCCTAAATATGTAGGTTGCAACTTAAATATTTAAGTTTCAACCTAAATATTTAGGTAGTTACTTCAATATTTATGTTAAATATTTAACTTGCTAGCTAAATATTTAGGTAGTTACTTCAATATTTAAGTTAAATATTTAACTTGCTAACTAAATATTTAAGTTGTAACCTAAATATTTAGGTAGTTACTTCAATATTTATGTTAAATATTTAACTTGCTAGCTAAATATTTAGGTAGTTACTTCAATATTTAAGTTAAATATTTAACTTGCTAACTAAATATTTAAGTTTCAACCTAAATATTTAGGTAGTTACTTCAATATGTAAGTTAAATATTTAACTTGCAAGCTAAATATTTGAGTTTCAACCTAAATATTTAGGTAGCTAGCTAAATTTTTCAGTTAAATATTTAAGTTTCAACCTAAATATTTAGGTAGTTACTTCAATATGTAAGTTAAATATTTAACTTGCTAGCTAAATATTTGAGTTTCAACCTAAATATTTAGGTAGCTAGCTAAATATTTCAGTTAAATCTTTAGGTAGCTAGCTAAATATTTAAGTTAAATATTTAAGTTGCAACCTAAATATTTAGGTAGTTACTTCAATATGTAAGTTTAATATTTAACTTGCTAGATAAATATTTGAGTTTCAACCTAAATATTTAGGTAGCTAGCTAAATATTTAAGTTAAATCTTTAGGTTGCAACCTAAATATTTAGGTAGCTACTTAAATATTTAAGTTAAATATTTAGGTAGCTACCTAAATATT